CTATATTATCCCCAAATTGGATTGTTTGTGGTAAATGGAAGAAGGCTGAAATGCCATTCCTAGTAGTGAAACAAAACACTAAATTAGTGGGGCCCCACCAAGTGGCTTTCTGATGTGTCACCCACCAAGTGGTTTGTGAGACTTACAACTCATATTTCAAGCCCCGGGGACTTCCTCCTCCAGCTTGTTAATGGTATGTTGAAATAATCCAAGCCAATATATACCCTTCTTAACAACTTAATTAGGTATATATGTAATTTCAACCTACTAATTAATTTACCATACAGCTGCCCACCATTAAATTTCACTTCAATTTTATGGGAAATAGATCAAGTAATTAAATAGGATATTAATTGATATCAACACACTACACAGTATATTTATTAAAAATAATTATTTTTTATATGAAATTAAAAGTATATAAATTTAAAACTGAAGTCTGCACATAGGATAAAAGAACAGTCTCAATCGACTATATTTATATTATATTTTAAATGATTAAAGATGATGGTGGAGATATGAAAAAGACGGTGAATACACAGTAAAATCAGTATATAAGATGCTAACAACAACAGAAGAAGGGGATGAAATCAAATGTCTTAAGAGATGCTGGAACTCGACAATCCCATTGAAAATCTGTGCTTTTAGTTGGCTGTCAGTGCTTGGACGTACACCTTGCAAGGTAAACCTCTTGAAGAAGAATATCATTAGACAAGAAGCAGATGCTAAGTGCAGTTTCTGTGCAGAAATAGCAGAAAATGAGGACCACCTTCTGCTGTGGTGTGATTTTTCAGGAAAAATTTGGAACAAAAATCTCGCATGGTGGGAAATCAAGTATGTTATGGCCAGGAGTTGTAAGGATCTTTTCTCCAACATAGCTGGGCGGGTAGAAACCAAAAAGGGTGGCAGGTGATATGGTATGCTACAATCTGGGCCTTATGGTCAACTCGGAACCGTAGAATTTTTGAGGCAAAGCAAGTGTCTCCTGATGAAGTGTTCCACATGGTACAATACAACTCATACTGCTGGATAAAGAGCAAAATTGAAGGCTGGACATACTCTTTTGCGGACTGGTACAATGCTCCAAGTAGATGCCGAGTAGTAAAAGTTCCAAAACTAAGATTGATAGAACTTGAGCAAGGTGAGATGATATGATGTCTGCAATAGATGAAGGTGTTTTTTAAATAGTAGGGGTTTCCCATGCCACGGGTTTGATGATCAAAATAGTGAGATATGGAAAAATTGCAAAAGAGGGTAGAAAACCCGACACAAATGTGGTGTCGACACATAAATTTGGTATCGACACCATACAGTGAGCACCCAAAATTCCGACACGGACGTTGTGTTGACACACAATTTTGGTGTCGACGCCATATGGATGTAAACTTATGCTTTTCTTGTTGGGGTGTTAATGGATTTGGGATACCCTTGTAATCCGTTTTTTAATTAATATTACTTTTGGCTGTTCAAAAAAAAATATTTTAAATGATTAAACCAAATAAATATCAAAAAAATATATTGAATCAAATGTATATTAATTATTTTCCGATAATAAGTTGAAAATTTACAAAGAATTTTTTTAACATGTGTCTTTAAAAATATAATTAATATGTTTTTTAAACAATAATTGATACTAAAAAATCTAAAAGTTAATATTAATTTAATTATGAATACCATGTGAATTATTTTAATTAAACAATTGACTAAATAAACAAAATTAAATTTTTACCTTTTTTTAACACCAATTAATATTGTAAAAAAATGTATCCATTACACTCTTAAAACTTAATTTAGAAAAACTCATTTACAAAAATGTAATGCCTTCATCAAGAGACAATTACCTGACATATTTCTAAAAGAGACATAAATTTAAATATCTAATCTTGATGCTAAATTAAGGTTTCAATAGCAGGTGACATTGTATCAATACAGCTAAACTCCATTCAATTGTACAAAAAAGGAAAGAAAGAAATTGGTGAAAATCCTTTAATGATGGTCAACGAGGAGTTAAAATGGGCATTGTGAACCTATATATACGTACAACTACGCGGTGAGAATCAACCCACTTGCTTGCTCCAATTCATCCAACGAAGGGTTAAAATCCACTACTATGAGCTGTAATCGCACCTTCCGCCTACTGGTTTGGCGGAAAGAACCCTATCGGACCGCGGAGAAACACCGTGGGTTGTTTTAGCCAAACAAGAGAAATGCCCTTTTTTCCGGTTGACCCTAGATCCAGAGTCCATACCCCCAATAGTTAACTCCCCATTGTGGCAAGGGTTTGTCACCTGGGGGGTCACGTGCTAGGTGTGACAATAATTAAGCTGGCTTTAATCGCATGCAATTGTACGTGGAAAAGAAATAAAGGAAAAAAAAAAAAAAACGCTACTAGAAGTCTTGATTAATTAATTTAGCACACCCACTGATCACTCTAAAGTACGGAAATCGAGATGGAATTATTGTAGTAAGAGATGTTGATGATATATATATATATATGTATATGTATACACACGTGAAGTTGAAAAGAAAAAAAAAATTTGTGGGTGCTATGTGAGTTTTTTTTTTGAAAAGCAAAAGTAATATTTATTGAAATTGAGTACAAAGAGTATCCGAAACCCGTAAACATCTCAGTTTGAAAGGCAAAGAGTTCGTCGAAAAGCCCTTCCATTCGGTGTCGACACCTATATTATGTGTCGACACCATGTCCGCGTCGGAGATTTGAGCTCAGCTCTTCCGTTTGGTGTCGACACCCTAATAAAGTGTCGACACCACGTCCGTGTCGGGATTCAGAAATGCTCAGCCCTTCCAGAATGCCATAACCTCCCTTGTTGATATATTTGGCTTTGGAGTTCCATTCGCTCTTCCTTGATACTGTGATGGCTAATATCTATCTGCACAAATTTGATTCCTTTTGACACGTAGCCTTTTCATACTTTCTTTGGGCTCTAGTATCCAATCTGTGAGGGAGACGTCTCCCAGCTCTTGCATTTTGCTTTCACCCATTCCCATGAGCTGACTTGAATTTGATTGTAAACCCTTTCAATCTCCAGTTTCTTTCCATGGAATACACAATTGTTCCTAGCTAGCCATAGGGCCCATGCATATGCGAACCATATAATCACCCAGCCTTCCCTTTCTCTGTTTTCTGTGAATTGTCCCCATTGTTGAGAAAAATCCTCTCGACAGTTGCTTGCTCGTGCCGAAGACATTCCCCACCATTTTAGACACTTTCCCCATATATTGTATGCTTTTTGACAGTGTAGAAACAGGTGGTTTGAAGTTTCCACGTCTTCTTCACACATAGCACATGTCAACATGCTTTCGTTGATTTAAAACTCCTCTTTTAAATAGCTTAAATTTAGTTGGAATTCTGTTCTACACCAGCTGCCATACCATAGTGCAGATCTTGTTAGGTACCAATGGGTTCCAAATTTTTTTATATGGTACCTCTTCGGTTCGATAAGGCCTTGATGTCAGGAATTGGTATGCTGACTTTGTGGAATAGCCAGCCTTACTATCTAATATCCAAAGCCACTTGTCCTCGTTTCCTTGATTGGGTTGAATTGGTGTGATTGCATCCAACAACTCTTTTTCCATCACTTTTTCCCACTCCCTAAGATCTCGTTTCCACTTCAAGTTCCATCTCCACAGGCCATCTTCCCATATGCCCATTTGGTTCACCAGATATTTGTCTCCCTGTTGAAAGTAAATACAATCTTAGAAACAGGTTAGATAAGACGCCTATTCCTACCCATTTATCACTCCAAAAACTCACTTGTTTTCCTTCCCCTAAAGTTAACTGCACATTATTCTCCAATCACCCTTCCTTCCCTACAGCCATATCGTTGATCTTACAAATATTTTGCCACCATATTGAACCCCTTCCCTTTCCCTCCTTAAACCATGTAAGCCAATGCCTTCCTATATTTCCATATTTCTCCCTAATCACTCTACTCCAAAGTGAACTTGAACCCTCTGCCATTTTAACCCACCATTTCCCCAATAA